GCAGGAACCACGTGAGTACTTCCCTTGATGCATTTCTTGGTAATATGCTGAAGGAACCCGACACGCAAGGCTCCTACAGACCACACAATGCTAAAAACAGTCAGCTGTGTGTCTGGTCCCAACCCTCTTCTACATGGAATAATGTTCTCCCAAAGGCTCTAACGTCTCTCCGTGTGTCCTTTCTCTCTCCTGTCGGCCTTGTGCAAACTCTGGGAGACAGAATGGCATCACAGGAAGACCATGAGCTTTGAGTGGAAAGTCCTGGGTTCCGATATCAGCTCTGCCACCTGTGAACTGTGTGATTCTGAGCAAGCCACCCCAGTTCCTTTTCATCTGGAGTAGGGACTTTACACCGACCTTGCGGTGGTTTGGAGTAAGCTAAAGAAATCATGTAGGAAAAAAAAACTCAGTCACACAACAGACACTAATAAATGGGAGTAACCTCTCTCCTGCCTTCCAGGTAATTCCATATCTGGAACAGTATTTTATAAATTTGTAAATAACAAAATATATGCCTTGGGCAAATTTATAAAATACCACCAGATGACTTTTCCTGGGCTCAGGGTCACTGTACTCGTGTTGTCAGTTTATCAGCAAATTCTGCAGCTCTGAATTTTTCAGTCACTCATCTCTGACTGTCACACAACCATGGCTCAACATTCTTCTCCGTCTTGGTATTTCTAAACCTGCCAGCTTTGTGCAAGGTGAAACCTATCCTTGAGATTATGTCCAGTTTTCTCAGCAGATGATTTCTTCTGGTAAATCCTAATACTTACAAAATCATCTCCTCTACCAAATGCAACTGTGGTGGGGAGTTCAGAGGAGCAGAGGTGAAGGCAGGTTGTGTGTGTGACCTCGGAATCTGCCACATCAAAGGTCTACACTGTCACTATTACTGTTTTCAAGCTATGTAAGTGTGTTCACCCTCTCTCGCTACCCCGTCGCAGGGTTAAGGGGAACACACTTACATAGCTTTCTCTCTTTATGGCCTACAATCTCCCTGCAGGTCTGTGTTTATCTGTGCGGTCTTGAAACTGCTAAGAGCACTGCCAGGAACAGAATGGCAAGGGTACGATGCCTCCCTGCCGAGACAATGGACAAGTGATAGTGAATAAGAAATTTCACTACCTGTAAAATGGTCCAAAGCAGAACTAAAGATAAGCTGTCCTTGGCTTTGCTAACAGATGAGAGAATCTCTTATGAACCATCATCTTGTAAATAAATACACAATTTGAAGACACGTAGCAAAGGCTTTTATGGAATACCATTTTTAGCAAAGCAGATGTTTACAATACTAAATTATTTCTTAAGTTACTATCATTAGTAAGGCCTGGAAGAAAATAAGACATTCCTTAAGGGACCAAATCTCTCAGGCAGTCGTCAGGATGGAAAAGAAGATGAACATTCTGTACCTCCCTTTAACCATTTTCTTCCTCCTGAAGTGAACATACTGTTGTGCAGAAGAAGTCACGGGCTTGTTTTCTTTTTCTTTTTGTTGAATCATCTGAGAGAAGCAGTGAAATGGCTTGCAGTTCATAGGCCACTGCTGCCCGGCTATACTTGGAGTTTCAGATCTCGGATGTGCCGGGCACCAGGGACACCTCAGGGAGCAGAGTGTAGCTACAGAGTGTAGCTTTCTGTGAAGAAAGTGACAGTTCCTACAGGTAGAAATACATATGCAAAACAGCTGGGAGAAAGGGCGAGAGAAAATTGTGTTTTTCTATTACCCAATGAAAAACTGGGATTATTAATGATTATCCTTTTGATGAGATCAAAAATTCACACAATCACCTCTGGCACACATGTAAGTGGATAAACACAAAAGCAGGACACAGAACAGGCTGAATGGCTTCTCTGGTATTTGACAGAATGGGAGCTGACTCATATGGGGAAATACACTTCCCATGACCCACAAGGGATCCTCTGATCACCAGGGTGAACCAACCAAAACAGGCAGCAATGACAGTTTGTCAAAAAACAACAGGCAGCAGATCTGAGCTGCCCTCAGCCTTATGATCAGGTGTAGACGGGACTCATGGGCACCTGAGTTTGCAAATGTCTGGCTGCTCCAGGCTCCTGCTGCCCTTGAGGACCAACCGCGGTAGGCCCTTGCATCTGGTATTGCTCCTGTCTCCTCTTAAACAATGCTCATTGGATGATAAATGTCAGCTCTGATAAAATCCTGCCCCTGGGATGCATGAGTTGGTGGATTTAGATGTTAACTCACAATTTATGTCTCCCAGCAGCTCAGTAGAGAATCATGGGATATTCTAGTCCTCCTGGTATGTCTCGTGTTGCCCAGGTAGCAGGACTGCTATGACACAGCTGTGTTTCTTATAGAGTCCATTCTTTCAGCCTTAGCAGTTCTTGTGGGTAAGGGTCATCTTTTCAGGCCGCTCTAATTTGGAAGCTGGACTGTGAGTGAACCGTTGCCACACCCAAGCCTCAGTCTCCTCATCTATAAAATGGAGATGAGACGGGCTGGGGATATAGCTCAGCGGCATAAGTGCCTGCCTTGCAAGCAGGCAGTTGTGAGTTTGATCCCTGGTACCGATAAAAAGAAAAAAGACAAAAAAAAAAAAAATGGAGATGAGAAAGTGCCTACCTTACAAAATTGTGTGATAAGCAAGAAAGCCACCAAACTCATGGCCAGGTGAATTTCAGTACAAGCTCTACTGGCACATGTGAAATTTTAGGACTAAAATGCACTGCTCAGCCACTCAAGATAGCCCTTGAGCCTGGCTTTAACCAATTTCAGGCATTCGTTTTGTATTGAAAGCTGTGTGTCTGTAACCAATTTCACATCCCTATTTTAAAACCTATAAGTTAAGACACCACAAGTCTGGCCTTCCACTGGTATACATGTTGCTGTTTCATTCATTTCCTTAAACTATACAAAAGTCAGCAGCTTTGTCTCCAAATCCCTTTTGCTACTTACCAAAAGAATTTTCATTGCAACTGAGCAATTGGTCTATGAAAGAAAAAGTATTATAGCAGAACGCCCTTGACCCTCTCTTTAAAAAAGAACCAGACCACACTTGAGGAATGCCAAATGATTCTCATTAAAGTAATGAGCATATTTGCAGTGACATGCGTCTGACCGCCTTTAGCTGGTTGGACTTGTGACAGCCAGAGACCCAAAAATAACGCACGCCTGGCAGTTCCTGCTCAAATGCACCTCACAAATGCATTTCACACTGCTCCAAGGATGTCCCGCCCTGGGCAGATGGGGTGTAAGGTCATATGCAAATTGCTGTGACATTAAACACACATTCTTGTGACAACACTGATAGGTGGAATTTAGTACCCTGAGTTCCCTCAGCTCCTGCTGTGTAAAATTCACTCTAACTTGAACAAATTTAGCTGATCCCTGTCCCTGCCCCATACTACAAGCAAGTTATTTTTAACTCATAACTATCACTGAGAAGTATTTTCTTTAAAAAAAAAAGCTTTCAGAAAGAACCACGAAAACAACAAAATGCCATTGCATCTCAGTGAGAAGTACAAAGCCCTAAATGAATGTCACTTTGGTTTGGAAGCTGCAGTGGCCTTCATATGCATCTAATTTTTCACAACCCTTTCTACAATGTCCCCAGACAGTCCTAGGAAGAGACAGACAGGCCAGATTTCTGCCATGGGTGCCTCTGGAAATGTCATCTTCCACATTTCCTACAGAATATGGTCCTGTGTAGTGTCCAAGTCCAATAACTAGTCACTAACCATATGCAAGTCATTGTGCCATTTTACCCTTTCACCCCAGAGGACACTTTTCCCACATGTAAGAGTGAACTGAGTGAGCTGTGCTCCATGTCCCCAAACACAGCATTTGACAGAAGACATTGGACTTAACCAAGTAAAAGACAGCAGCTTAGGAAATTTCATGATGACAAGGACAATAACTACTGTTGGCACTGGCTCTGAGATGCACTTTAATATCTTATCTCAATAAATCCTCGTAACTTCCTCCTTTGAGGTACGTACTCCTGTATAATTATTCTTGTTTTAAGATGAAGAAAGTATTACCCAAGTTAAATGACTTACCCAACATCACACCTGTTTTTAACCTTGATGATCTGCTTCCAGCCAAAGCTACAGACAAACCTAGATTCCCTCTGAGTTTTTACTATACACTTGGAGGTCAGTGCCGGTGAACCTATGGCATGGGACTTATTGTTTTTATCTTAAGACAAAACATGTTCATGAATGAGTTGCTGTTTTCTAAATTAAACCTTAATATTTAGGCTTTATGCAGTGTTGGCACGCAGTGATACATAGATGCATCCCAGGTTGCAGGCTGGGTACTCGGTCCCTCAAAGATTTGCCATCTCTGAGCTAGGTGATCCAAGCCAGGCTGCTTTACCCTTCTGAGCCTAAGTTTCTTCCTCTATAGGGAGGGAATGACAGCCCTCAGCTTTCAGCTCTCCAAGAGGTCATAAATAAGATCACATCTGCAGAGTGCTTAGCACCTGCCATCCATGGCAGAAACTTTCCAGGAAGCGACTTCTTTCCTAAGGTCCAGGCACGGTCCACCTTCCCTACTCATCTCACCAATTGTGAAGGCGCCTCTGTCAGATGGGGGGTGCACCTCCTCCTTTGCACACTGCCGTGTCCTTAGAAGTGACACTAGGTCCACAGGTAATGAACGGGGTAACAGCTCCCAGGTCAGCTCAGCTCATTCACTGCCCACCATCCAGTGTGCACTGGGCCAGGCACTGTCATCTTCCAACCACCGAGGCACAGCGCTACTCTGAGCTCCCAGCCCCTTGGGGAAGCACAAGTGGGAAATCAAATGCGCTCCCTGCGATCTGGATGGCCGATTTAGGGGCTATGCAGGCTTGGCTCAGTGTGGACTCAGCAGATCACAGCAGTTACACTGCTCACACCCACCAAGCCGTCAGTAGACACTAGGCCCTCACTGGCCTCCAACCCTCTGCACGTCCACCAGCCCCATACGTTCAGCCTGAAGCTGGAACTCTCACACTTCACAGTCAGAGACTCACATGCTCAGTGAGGGCCCAGCTTCTGTTCACAGGGTCTTCGAAATATCGAGCCAGCATCAGCTGGGAAGGCCAGCTCCATGCCGCACAGTCTCTGTCTTGAGGGCCCCTGCATCAAAAGACATCCTAGTGAAACCACGTGTTCAAAAAATGTTAGCTTTGGATTACAGAGGAAATCTAAAGCAGTCAATAATATTTTAGAAGAAATCTGAGTTAAGAAGTCACCATTTGTTGTTGCTATTGTTGTCCTCGTGGATATGGAACCCAGGATCTTTGAACTGAGCTATATCCCACTCCCTCTGAAAATTTTTTTAGTACAGGCTCTTCCTAAGTCATTTAAATTCCCCAGGCTGGGTTCTAATTTGTGATTCTCCTGTCTCAGCCTCCCAGAATGCTGGGATTACATATATGCACCAGAATACCCAGCTGGGATGTAGATTTCGTTAGGGAACTATAGTTTCATTTCAAATAACTAATTAGTGTAACATACGACTTTAAATCAAGAGATATGTGGTAATAATTTCAAAAGCCAAAAAGACAAGAACTACTTGTGCTTGAATTTTAAATGGCAAAAAAACCTTCCACCAACTTTGGTCCACTTAACCCTTTGTAGTAATCAGCTATTAATGCAATCATTCTGTGTAACAAAAACACAAAAAAAGTCTCAGACACTTAACAAGAAACATGCATTTCTTGCCAACACAACTATGGGACAACTGGAGTATGTGTTCCATGTGTCACATGCCAGGACACTTGTCACTCAAACCATTCAAGGAATACCAGCTACAGGCCAAGCCCATTCAGGCAAATACAGACCCCATGTTCTGCTCACATCCCATTTACTGTATCCCATCAGCCAAAGCAAGACACAGGCCAAACCCAACCTGAGAACTGGGAACGCACACATGTCTCACAAGAGGCCTGGCAAGGGTGTGAGAGCATGAGGAGGGGAGCTCTGTCACTAATAAGCCAGTCCCCCACACTTTCTGCCCTGGAAGGCAGGCATTACTGGCACCCTTTGTTTCTGACACTGAGTAAAGGAAGCCTCAGGAATTTGTCATTCGCCAAGATAAGGCAGTCAGTACACAGCTCTAACAGCCTTTGAATCTTCTAGCTCCTGGCCCCTGTGACTTCTACAAAATGTAGCTGACTTGTCACAGCATCCATCTCTAATAATCACACCCCCAGAGCTGCTACCTTGCAGATACCGACTCTCCTCAGAACATGGGGGCCTAACACTGTCTCCTCTCTGCGTGACCATGGGTTTAACATTTGTCTGGGGCTTTCTGCAGTGTTCTTACAAGGTATTTTTACTGTTTGTACCCTCATTATTTATGGTGGGAAATCTTAATTAGAAAACTCTGGCTACTTGAAAATAAACTTTAATGAAAACATCTCTCCTCCCTCTCCAACACATAGCTCCACAGGCCCAGAGTTTCCCGGTCTGCCCTGATCCTCCAGTGGAGCTGGAGGAGCTGCCGGCCAATCACCACAGGGACCCTGGGTTAAAGTGTCCTGAAAGGCCACTGCCACCCATTTGTGTAAGAAACAGTTGCGAAGTCCAGCTCTGGGCCTGGCAGGGCGCTGGAGTAAGAGGAGCGACTCTCATGGAATTACGGTCTAAGAGCAGTGAGCGTTACCAAAAACAAAAGGAAAACACTGAGCCTTGCGCCTTCAGAGCGTGTGCTGGGTGTTACGGAGAAACCGGGGCCTGCACGCAAGGCTCTCAGTCCCTTTCTCAGCTGGCCAGGGCAACCCCGCAGTGACCCTCAGTGACCTGCAGTGCCCCAGGAGGGCTGCTGGATAAACCGGCGCGGCCGGGCGCCACTGCGCGCCGCAGGCTCGGGCCGCCAGTCTGGGCCCCTCTTCTCGCTGTCACCGAAATGAAAACAAAACTTGGGCCCTGGGGTTTCCGGTACAGGGCTGGGGCAGAGAGCACGCCGGACTGCGGGAGGGGGAGGGACCGCCGTGGGAAGCCGGGCGACCCCGGGCGCCGCGCCGCTCGCCTGGGCTGAGCCCTGCCCGCCCAGCCCTGGGCCCGGGCTCCTGCGCCACCCGGGTCAGGCCGCCGGCTTGGTGACAGCTCAGGGCGCGCGGGGAGGGGCTGGGCCTCCCCAACCCCGCGGCGCGCCAGCTCCCCTCCCCTGGCCGGCGCGGGTCTGGGCGCCCCGGTCCTGCCCCTCGCCGGGAGGAGCCTCGGGGTCTGCGCGGGGCGCAGCCGGAGGGCGCACGGCTTCAGCTCCCAGGCGCGTTGTGCAACCGCGGGGCTCGGGGGCGCGGAAAGCCAGCCGGGCCCATAAACAAAGCCACGTGGGCTTGGCGGGGGCCGGGCCAGGCGCGGGCGGCTCTTCCGGCAACAAAGCGCAGCGGCCAGGCCCGGATAAATACTGGGCCCCGCGCGGCGCCGCACTCCCCAGCGCGCCCCAGGTCCCCGCGCCCCGGCGCTTCCGCGTCGCTGCCATGCCGTTCCTGGGACAGGACTGGCGCTCCCCCGGGCAGAGCTGGGTGAAGACGGCCGACGGCTGGAAGCGCTTCCTGGACGAGAGGAGCGGCGGCTTCGTGAGCGACCTCAGCAGGTGAGGGCGCCCGGAACCCACCCGGGCCGGGCAGGGCCGGGCCAGAGGGCGCGGGGCGGGTGCGGCGGGAGGGCCCAGGGTCTGCGGAGGTCGCCCGAGCCCGGAGACGGGGCTCGCTGCTTACAAGAGGGTCAAGGTCAACGGCTCCAAGTGGACGGTCCCTACGGAATCCGGGCCCTGTGAGAATCTGAGGGTCCTCAGACGTTCAGACACGAGCACACAGCCCAGGCCCTCCCCGACCGCGGATACGGGAGCCTCGGGGTGTGCGCTCCCGGGCCTGAGCTGGAAACTGCGCGCCTGGTACCGGGGCGGGACATGGAGCGCCCAGCGTGGCTGCCACAGACCGGGCGATCGCGAGGGATATGGGTCACGCACGACGAGAGCCTCCAGGCTATGCCCACACACGGGCGGCCACGAGTGGGCAGGGAGAATGAGTAATCCAGAGGGGCGGCCCGATGGTGCGGGGGATGCAGCCGCGAAGGGCAGACTGGCAGGGCGGTGGTGACAACTGAGGCTGCGAAGAGGCAGGAGGTGAGCCCCAGCCCTCGCTTCTCTGAGTTCCCGGCGCTTGCACCTGCTTCCTCGGGGGTCCTTGCCCGCAGTTTTGCACCCCCAGCAGACGCCTTTTCCTATCGGTGCAAGCCAGCTGCAGAACGACCACCTGCAGAAAGATCAACTGGGGTCCCACCTGAGCAGTCTTGGCGCTCAGCTTCCCCGGCTCAGTGCAGACCAGTCAGTTAAATGGTCCAGAATCAGTGAGCGCCCACTTGGACTCCGAAGGCCGTGAAATGGGTCCGGAGGGGCTGGCCCCGCAGAGGTCACCCTTTCCTAGTGTTTATGCTTAAAACCACGGGCCGCTGCACCCTTAAATTGACATCAAGGAAGCATTTTGTAACTGGGCCAAGTTCCCACCGACTGAGATTTACCAGTGGTTGTTTGGATGGAAGCTTGGCAATAAATTATAAGAAAAATATCAAGAAAATGTGGTTATTTTGGCAGCCTGACTTCCAAGCCTGCCATTTGTTTGTGATTTGTAATGCATCGGATTCCTTTTGTCTCTCAATGAAGAGAAACATTATATAATGCCAAGGGCTGTCAGGAAAGACAAGAGCACATTAACCTTTCTGTTTGAAGAGAAGCTCCCAGGGAGTCCTGTGGGGTTTGGAAGCATAATGAAGAAATCTGATTCACAGAAAATCAAATCATTTATTTACAGGAAAATTTAAAAGGCCACCTGTTATCACTGTATTGTCTTCTAGGGACTAGTTACCAATTATGTCTTAGTTATTCTCACTCAACTAAATGGGGAGAGATAGAAGTTGAAGCTTCCTTCTTCCATCCTTATTGCTAAGGACCAATGGCCTAATAGTTTGCTACTTTTTTTTCTCTAAAAGCTCCGGCATTCTCTACAAAGGTACACAGGGATCCAAGCAGCAGTGTGCTGGTGGCACTGGAATAGGCCCGCAGGCTGGCACTCAGTTGTATGCAGCAGGGGAGGGTTTATAACAAGGCTGTTCACTGACCTCCCTCAACACTGTTCTGGAGAAGTGCTGGCCTCACTCTCCACTGTGCGGGTCCTTGAGACCTGCCCCAGAGGCTTAGACTAGGCTGGGCTCAGATGACTCCCCAGCTTGTCCCCTGCCTGGGACTCCTTGATTTCCTGCCCTTTCACACCTGAGCCAGAGCTGGCACACTCAGCAGGCATCGTGACCAATGCAGTGACCACCTGTGGCTCCCTGATGAGTCACAGTTTAGGAGTCATTTGTAAGCTCCTAAGCAGAGCAGCTGGCTGTTGGTTTGCTGGGTATTTTTTCCCCAGCAGTTGTAAACAATCCCTTCCTTACTTAGCAGGAGGAGTCTGCCAACTTCTTTACAGCAGTTGGCCTTCTGAGGTCTGGGCATGTAATCTCAGATAGCCCCACTGTTTTGCTCTCAGGTTTCTCTGTGATGTCAGGTTTGGGCTGAGTGCCTGGCTGCATAGGTGAGCTTGAATGTCCTCGCCTGTTCTGAGACAAAGGACCTCTCTTAAGGAAGGGGGCCCCCCAGAGACCTGCCATGCCTCCACAGACCATGTGTATCTGCACTGCCTAACACATGCAAGGGTTGAGAGGTACACTGGGTGATCCCCAGCTTACCTGCAGAGCACACTGCTGGACTGTGTAGCCTTTCTCCTTGTGGCCCAGAGCCCTGTGAGAACGTTTCAAATCCTGCATGACGGAGGGCCCCTGAGACCAAGGGAGGCTTGCACATAAGCTTAAGGCTCTTCTCAACAAGCCGCCACCTTGCAGGACAGAAGAGCAATGGCAAATGTAAAATTTGGTGAGGCCACATGTCAGGGTTGAACAGAGCCTGAGCTGGAGTGATCCGAGAAAGCTTGGAGGAAGTGGTGGTTGAGGTAGCCCATGCTGCCCTCCTCTCCAGCGCCATCCCCAGGATGAGGAATCCCAGAGTTCTCTTCTGAGCCCTTGTGCTGCAGCTGTAGACACACTGGAGATGTTTTACCACGCAGCTGAGGCTGGACCAGGAAGCAGGAAGTGTGCCTTGGTGCCTCAGATAAAAACAATCATTAAGATTTTCTGAGTGCTTACTATGTACAAGGCACTATGTGAAGAGCTTTATGCACCTAGATATTTGTTTTACCAGAGCAATCTGGTACAAGCTTCTGTGAGTTTGGCAGTCTAGGTATGTCTTAGGGCAAATTAGCATCAGAATCTGCTTGGCCTTAATCAAGGCTACATAACTACTCTGGGATGGGACGTGGTTTTATTAAATGGCATTTACTGCAAATTAAATAAGAAATAGAACTCTTTTTGTTTTGTTTTGTTTTGTTTTGTTTTCCATTCTTTCCTTTATCTACTGCCAAAATGGTCTTATTTTGAAATTATCCACCTTTTCCAAAAACGTCTTCAAGTATCCTGGCATGTGTTCTATAGTAGTTTGTGACTAGGTACAGGAGTCTTTTTCTTATTCTAGTCCTGTGCCTATAAAAATCAAGATTAGTAAGACCTGACTACAAAATAGTAAGTTGCTGGCTGCCTGTTGAATTTATTGAATAAAGCAACCTCCTTAAGATGGTTTTGCTTAATAAAGAAAATTCAGTATTACGATTCCTAACTGGTGGTGGGTTTTCTTGCTAAAAATTACAGTAAAAATTTTCCATTGGTTTTGCATTTCCTTGAAATGGACAGAATTGAACTCTGAGAATAGCCTCTAACTGAATACATTATTGCTTAAAAGAAAACATATAAGCAGACAACACAGCCCTTCCTTCCACGTCCTACCTCCATAATTCCAAAGCTCATACCAAGCAAGAAGTGTAGGGTTTCCCTGCATTAAAACTTTTTTACATTCTGCAGTGAGAGAGCATCACCAATTATGTAAAAGCTTCTCAAGCTTACTTTTGAAATGAGTCACCTCGGGCTTGAAGTAGGTTATTATAAGTTCTGGGTAGAGACCAAGTGCTCAGATTCCCTTGAAGAACACTTTCAATTAGAAAAGATAAAATATAAAGATTCACAATTTGTAAGAAACAGTCGTAGTCTGTAGTCCTGGCCCTAGAAGTTGCAGTGTGTGGCTAAGATGGCTCCATTTTATGGTCTTCTGTCTATGGACTTGGTGCTGTAGGTTTCTGTTGTTTGTAGTGTGGGAGTGGGAATATGCCCGTGTGATTTTTCTTTAAATAAGCCTTTGTATGGTTATTGGTTGGTTTTGTTTTGATTTTTACAGTGCTGGGGATTGAACCCTAGCTACATCCCCAAGGCTTTTTTATTTATTTTGAAATAGAATCTCACTGCATTGCCCATGCTGGCTTCAAACTTGAGTTCTCCTGCCTCAGCCCCCTGAAAAGCTGGGATGACAGTCGTGTGCCACCATGCATGGCTCACATGGTATTTTTTAAATGTTTTTATTTTATTTTAAAGATAACAAAGCCCAACAAAACAAAACAATAAATCCAGTCAAAACAAAGCAGTGAAACTGGTACAGAACTTCAAAGTAGGACACTAGAAAAACAATGGCTACCATATGATATCTTGTTATCCTCACAATAGCTGTCTGTTCCATCAGATATAGCAAAACCAAAACAAAAACAAGAAAACCAATGAAAATAGAACATTGAATAAAGCAAAATGATTAATTGGAACAAAACAAAACACTGAGAACACTATTGGATTTCAAGAGCAACATAAAAGGAAATCCCCCTTATTTGCTATATTGCATAATGTTATCCTCCGGCTCGGTGCTGGCCTCAGGCCTGCATCAGCGGCTCAGGCCGCTGGCCCCAGGCCTACAAAGTCAACCAAGCAACATAAACATTCAGTTGATTTTGTGCCTCAGTTGCTATCTACTCAGCCTGTCCTTCTAACCAGCTGGTTGCTTACTGGGTGTGTGTGGGGGGTGATTCTCAGCAGCACACCAGTATGCTCACAGGAGGTGCTGTCTGATCTCTTCCTGGGCCCCATGGTGGCTCGGGCAGCTTACCAGGAAGGCTGGCTAGTTGGCTTGTCAGTCGGCCTCACGTGGTATTTTTTTGTACACAGAACGTTCTAGCTTTGCTTTCTAAGGCTTTGGCACATCACAGGCCACTCAAGTGGCCATCTGTCTTTTCTTCTTTTCCTCAGCTTTGATCAGCATTTCCTAAGTTAGCCTCAGGGGCCCAGAGTTCTGTTCTGTCTTTTCTGCCCCTTTCTTCACCCTGACCATGGAGCAGATAACTGGTCAGTGGTTTTATAACTTGTATCCTCATGCAAGCAGACAAATACACCTCATGTGTTACACAAATCCTGGCCCACATCCTTTGCCCTTGGCTTGCCTGAGAAAGTGCTTTCAAGAAGACACCCTGCAGTGCCCTGAGTGAAAAGGAGGTGGCTAAAGCTGCAGGAGATGAGATCAGGTGGCCTTAAGGGGACCTTGAGCCACCAGGTTTCCCTCACAGTCCAGAAAAGCAGCTTCAAGGACACTGCTGGCCGTTGCTGTCAGCCTTTTAGAAGATGCTTACACTAAGTGTCTTAGTGCTGCTTGAGAAACCACCATGACAGGGCTGTGGGAACTTTTTCAGATTTCTTTCTCCATGTATACAAAGCATGGAATAGACAAGAACAGGTGGATTTCATTTTGTCCAGGGGGTATAAGTCCAAAAAAGGTATAATAAAACCACATTTTTAGGGCTGAGGAGACCTGGCAACACCGAGGTCCTGAGTTCAATTCTTGGTACAGAAAAAATTTTTTAATTCAGCAAAAGGGCTCATATAAGTAAGGGACCCTATCCTGCTGGTGCCAGCAAAACCTCCTAATTTATGTTTTACCAGTTGTCATTATAAATCTGCCCTGTGTTCGTCATGGGAGGTGAAGGATGTGGGGAACCCATCTTCCTATTATACCACAGTATTTCTTGAACCCTTTCTGTGGGAACTGTCCTGAGATTTACTTAGAAGTCACATTGTACAGAAGAATAAAACACACACCCACACACGCATGCATACTCACAAAGCTCAGCCTACTGAGGGAGATTCGCACGCACTGGGCAGCCTGGGTCTTCCTATCCATCAGTGAGTCAGGCCATGCACTCAGTGCCTTCTCAGCCCTCTAAACTGAAGAATTCTGCATTTACTTCATTTTGGCTAATACTCAAGTCTTCATCTCCCAGCGTGGCTCCTTAGTTTAGAGAATCTAAGCAAGCAGTACCATCCATGGCACCCCGGCTGTCAGTGATTCTGGTACAACCTAAGTCGAATTCTTGGAAACGTGATTATGTTTTAAAGGTATGAGAGGACCATGCTAGTTAAAACCAGCTTGGATATACTATAAACCGGAGAATTACATGGTGTATAAATCGTACCTCAATAAAGCTGTTTTTAAAAAAAAAGCAGTGTTGTAGACCAGGTACTTTTGCAGAATGAAGCCATTGTGTGGTGTAGTGACACCAGGACCCAGCCCTGTCCCATCACTTCTGTTTAAAACAGCATCACAGTACCCACCTGGCTCTGCAGCACTGTGTCCTGTTACAGTGCAGGTACTGTTAGGAAACTCAGAGAAGCAGGAGCCCCGTCGCTGCCTTCCATACGTGGATGACAGCACTTGATCCTAATAAAAAGAAAGAAGCCTGTGCCTGCATGGACTTTTTCTGAGTGATTATGTTATGTGTGGTTGGAGTTGACAGCCCAGTGAGTGATTCACAGAAAGAGCCCGTGCGGAGGTGTAGCTGTTGCATCTCACCCTGTCCTGTGCTCTGAATTCACAGCTACTGCAGCAAGGAGGTGTACAACAAGGAGAATCTTTTCAACAGCCTGAATTACGATGTTGCAGCCAAGAAGAGAAAAAAGGACATACTGAACAGCAAAACCAAAACTCAGTGTAAGCTGTTTGCTTTGAACTTAAGAGGAAAGTTGTTTGAACATAGGCAAGGCTTGGTTCTCCCATGTTAGACATCTTTCCTAGTGTCTACTGTGTCATGGCAGAATCACCAGGCTTTTGCACCCACAAACCTGGCTGTGCATTCTTTATATCACCCATTTTCTGGGCAAGGTGTTTCTCTCCTGCTTACCGCTTGTTTTTGATATAGTGATACAATTGTTACAGGTAACAGGGTCAGGTCAATCCATGCCATGTGTGCTTTGATTTTGATCTGTTTTAATGCTTTGGAAATAGATTTGTTCTTGCTTTTCTTATATAAATATTGCTAGTATTTCTAAATGTTGAATGTAAGCATTAGTAGGGTATATAAAGTTCTATTAATAAGTATAAACTGTAAATTAGTTTAATCGTTTGGTCTACATGGTCTCTCCATGTTATCTGTTTCCCTTCTTTTTCTTCTTCCTCTTCCTCCTCCTCTTCTCTTTCTTCTTCTTTTTTAAGACAGGGTCTCACTCTGTAGTTCAGGCTGGCTTTGCAGTCACTGTGGAGCCAAGGCTGGCCTCCAATTGATGTTGATCCTTCTGCCTCAGCATACCAAATACTGGAATTACAGGCACATACCACCACGCCAAGCTATCTGTTCATTCTTTTATGGCCTTATATAAGTTTTAGATTTGGCATTTAAAACAAACTTGTACTTGCGTGTTAGTTTGTTGGGATTTTTTTTTTTTTTTTTTTGGAGTTTTGGGAGGATCTTTAGTATACTCAATCTGGCTATCAGCTATTTAAAATACATCAGACGAAGCAAATTATAGCTTCAGTATTAGAAGAAATACTGTAGAAATTGATTTCATTGCAAAAATGAAAAATTTGAATCCTTATATTGTCAGTAGAGTCTAATTTTTGTTGAAGTTTTTAAACTTTGGAATAAATGAAAAAGACTCAAGGTTAAAATCTTGGTCATGTTACACATTTTTGTCCATGTTACATGTTTTTAAAGATGTGGTTTTTGTTTTGTTTTCTCTCTGCAGATTTCCATCAAGAAAAATGGATCTATGTCCACAAAGGCAGCACTAAAGAGGTGAGCACTAGTAAACCATGCAGTAAACCATGCTGTTTCACCAGCAGCTCACTAAAGAGGCAGGCTACAAAGTGGGGGGCAGTATCACTTCCAGTGCTGCTGGCTTCCTGCAGGTGGGTGGCAGTGACAGGGCCTCTGCCTGGCCAACCATTAGCGACTGGGACTACAGAGAAAGTGAAAACAAAGTTGTTGGGTGGACTCCTCAGTCTTCAGTGAGATAATGTACGTGAAAGTGTTTTCCCAGGATTAATATGCCTGTCTCAAACTGTATTATCATTAGCCCTGGACTTTCCTACAGACAGTGCCTCCCTCTGTTCTAAGATCTGTTTTGTGGACTGGTCACTAAGTCTGAAGGTTTTCTGTGCCCACCCAGCATGGAGCTGGGGGGAAACATAGTAACTACATTTGCCTGGTACTGGATAAAACCCAGTGGTGTGAATTTTCTCTCAGCACAGGCACTCAGATAACTAGGATGCAAAGCAGGAGGATAGAACAGTGGGGCATCTGTGACCATGGGGGACCAGGTTTGGAGAACATCTACTTCCCTCTGTGATCGGAGGCCCAGAGAGGATCAGTGATAAGTCTGAAACCACTAAGAGTCTGGACCAGAGCCAGAACTATTGAGCTCTACTCTCCATTCTTTGTGTAGTCACAGATAAAAGATCAGAGCTTGTTTTGCTTCTTCACGAAGCCTTAAAAAAAATGCCACTTGTGATGATCCCAGTGAAAGAAGCGCTGTCAGTGCAACTCAGGTGAGGGCATGGTTGCCACAGGTGGGCCACATCTTCCTCGTGGGAATGCATTACCATCACCAGCCATCCTGACCTCGTGGGATGTGTTTTCCCATCATAGCCCATGCAGAGAGCATGTACCCAAATGGTACAGGTCAGGAAAGGGGACATTTCATGGGTTTGACCCTGATCAAAGTAGCTGTGGGATTTGTTGCCCATCTCATGCATCCCAGGGACTCAGTGCAGAAAAGAAGCCAGTGCCCAGGTCAGCTATGATGGCCCTCCAGCTTATTCAGCAGTCTGGTTGGGTCATTCTAGAGAATAGCTGCCATGTGGCAGGAGTCACATGCCTGCCTCTGTTTCCCATCCAGCGCCATGGTTATTGTACGTTGGGGGAAGCTTTCAACAGACTGGACTTCTCCACTGCCATTCTGGATTCCAGAAGATTCAACTATGTAGTTCGGGTAAGTCTCAAGAGCCCAAGGCTCGAATAGATGCATGCATTGAATTGTGTGTTCAAGTTATCCACAGTAGCTCTCCAGAAAACCTTTGGGTTCTGAGGCAAGTAGAAACAACCTCTCCAGCCTCTTCCCTGGCCTGCTTCAGGGTGTTAGGTCGGTCCTGTGAGATTGTGTCTGTGAGTGACCATAGCAGACAGGGCCTCCACAAGCTGCAGATAGCCAGTGCCTCCACTTCCCGCTTACTCTGGGGAAATGGGACGTATTATGAGCAGAGACATCAGCAAGACAGAAATCCGCAGGAAGTGAGCCCTTGTGCACACTGACTCGTTTCAAAACCTTCTGCGTGTGCCTACACACACACACACACACACACACACACACACACACACACACACGCGTCCTGTTCTTGTTTTCCTCCTCATCCTGCTTCAGCCGACTCTGGGTGATCCCAAGGCACTCTCGGTTAGGCCATGCATTAGATGAGCTCAGAGCACACCAGCACGACCACTTCTGTGCCCACATGACAACAGCGCTCAGTGGTCTGTGTACCTTGTGCCTCCACCTGTCCACTGGGGCCTGTTGCTTGTGTTTTAAATCTCATTTTGAAGAGTTAATGACCTTTAGCAGAATATTAATGATGAAGAGAGAAAGCTCTTTCTAGGCGAGTGACCTGTCCCCTACTCCACCTGCCCCAGGCCGCTTGAGTGTTTTGTGTTGGTGATTTGTCCTGGGAGTAGCAGCTGCTGGGTTTTAGGCTGTGAAGTAGGTGGGAATTTTCCCCGTGTGGGTGTTGCTTGATTTGGTTTTTATTTTCTTCTGGGTTGTTGGGCTTCTCAGTGCCATGTTACAGTCAGATGATTGCAGAAGCTCAGCCAGAGTGATGACATTCAAGCCCCCTTGAGACCTGGCTCATTTGCCTGTCATCGGGCAGATGCAGTCAGGACTGTGTACACTGACCTGGGAAAACCCAGGCTGCCTGACGTGGGGCGGATCTGTCCACTCTCCAGCTAATCCAGTCCAAACAATGCAAAAAAAGAGCCCCTTTCGGGGGCAAAGTGTCCAAGTCGTTCAGTCTGCCCCTGCCAGGTTAAGGAGGTCACCCCATCCTCCAGGGGCTGTAGACTAGTCTAGCAGGCTGGAAACAGGCCCAGGGAGGTCTGGAAACTTCTGTTGCTAAGAATACAAATAGTTTCCATCTTCTGTTAGAGGAAGACACCTCAGTCTGATGTCTTATTACAAACTGATCATCACAATGGCCTGTTTTCAGGTGTTATTCCTTCCTGACTTTTTCTTTCAAAAGAAATAAGGGAAAGGAACAAGGATCATAATGGCAAAAATCTTTTTCATGTAATTATCACTCATCCTTTATCCTTTCAGTAACATTACACAGTGTGCATAATTTTATTATCTTCATTTAAACAAATGGCAGTGCAGTGAATGACTTGTCTGAAGTCACAAAGCTACAAAAGGGACAAAAAACACAGAGTGAAGCCTGGACAGTTGTAGAGTCCATACCCTGAACTGTTTTGTTCTGTACAATCAAGTAAGTTCTTCACAATCAAAAAATCCTGAAACGGGGTCCCAGCTTCACTGATTTCCAGCTGTTTCAGCCTTCTGTTGCTGTGGTGAGACTGGCTGGCCCCACCTGTATGGGGCAGCTGTGGAAATATGGGGGTCCATGGGACACGCTCATGCTTCGCTAAGGAGGCTCTGCTGTGGAAGGTTAGCTACGAATCCTTAGTATTACCTGCTCACCAGAACTATTGTGGAGTCCCCATAAGGTGCCTTGTTAGTTTAGCTGATGAAATTGTTTTTGTACCTTAAAAAATATAGCAGTTAACAGGAACCAGCACGATTAAGACTCAGCACACAAATCTTGTGCCTCCTGGCATCCAGTTGTATCACGAGCACTTTCCTTTAAAGCATCTTAAAGTCAAGGAAGCTACTGAATGCTTTCAAAATTGGTAGGTTTAGAAATAGTGAAAAAAATACTTCTATTTTGGAAAGAACAGTTTTCCCCCTTTACTGTTTGAGGACTCTATAATTTGAGAAATAATATGTTATTTTTATAGAGAACTTAAAACATTTTAATGATAGGCAGTGCGTTTTGAGGTTTTTCTTCTTAGGAACTCAATATACTTCTCATTTATTGTCCTTAACCTTAAGCCAACCCTACAAAGTACTGCAGCTGGCCACTGTGTTATCCTTTTCTCATTACTTTGACCTAATGATGCTTTAGTGCCTCCTGATTGCTTGGTTTTGGTAAGGAGCTAAACCAGCGGGGAGGAGGAGTGTGGTTTAAAGTTTTGTGAGGCCAGAGCACATCTTTAAAATGTACTTGCATTCATACCATCTCTCAGAAGGTGGCATGTCGAAGTACCAAGAGACAGCCAACAGGGCCATCTCAGAATGCTGTCTTTGTATCAGTTAGCACACAAATGGCAGGGGATTGGGGAAGGGTTTCAAATAACGTTTATATACTATTTTTAATTAACTTCAAACTATGTGCACTGGCCCTGCCCCTTTCTCTATTCATTTCCAGTGAATTAAATGACAACTTGAGCTGTGTGTTTTCAAGATGATTTAAATTGTTTAGAAGCAGTGGTTTGTGGAAGGCCTTGGGGCCAGAGGTGTCCAGGGGCTGGGCGGGTCAGAAGGCTGGAAGCTGGTAGCCAGGAGAAAGTGGGTTGGGACTGAGAGAGCACAGAGAGGCCAGGGGGACAAAGTGATCTCTGGCTGCCCTTAGAATCACATGGGGGCATGCTAAAGGAGTACGTAGGCCTCCACTATAGCTTCTGGTTAAACCAGGTGGGGGTATTACTTTCAGAATATCTGCCAAATGACCTCAGTGGATGTTCAGGTTTGTAAGCTACCTTGGAAATAACTTTGAAAGCCTAATGTGGTGTCTTGCATCGGTAATCCCTGCATTCAGGGAGACTAGAGCAGGAGGATCAAAAGTTTGAGCCCAGCCTGGGCAGTTTAGCAACTGGCAAGTTTGTCTCAAAATAAAGAATAAAAAAAGGATGGAGGATGTGGCTCGGTGCAGAGGGCCTGGGTTCAATCCCCAGTACCACAAAAACAAACAAAAAACGACTTGGGACTCAAATGTTATATTTTGCATAATGAATTTTTAAACAGAATACTCTGAGGCATTAAATTTTGAATGTTACTGCTGCCCCATGTCCTGTAGTCCATCAGGAACACGGTGATGGAAGAGTGTGCGTTCCAGCTCAAAAGTTCAGAACTTACTAGCTGTGACAAATTGTGCAAATCAGTCGTTTTGCTTCTGTAAATTATGAAAAGGGCTAGCCACACCTGTTGAAGCTTTTTTAAAAAATTTGATTGGTTTGTTTTGTTTTGTGATACCAGGGATTGAACTCATAACCGCGTGCTTGCTAAGCAGGAACTTACACTGCTGAGCTAAATCCTCAGCCCCCAGTTGAAGCATTTTTGTAAGAATGGGAAAATCCAAAAGGAAAATAAAAGTTACAGATGTAAAAATATCACCTAAGTTTCAAAATGCACTGCAACTTCTTTTTGTGAGAGAAGTAAGATGTAAGTGTACATAGCCATCTTTCCCAGGTGACCAGGACAGGAAGTCTCAAGGTGCAGGCCTGATACAGGTCGGGCAGAGACTCACCTGTTTGCAGGTCGACTTCCGGGAGCTCAAAACTATGGTACAGTTTTTAAATCCTTACCATCTCCCTGGTGACTGCCTGTTACACAGTGAGTCTCTTGAGAACACTGTAGGTTAACAATGAAGATCCACACTGAGCAGGGCCAGTGAAAAAGGGAACTTACAAGGGTGAGAGGCACATAGACAAGTGTGGGTTCTCATCAAGTGCAACGCAAAGACAGCAGCTGCAACCTGAATTCAGACTTGTGTTTCTTCTGACTCTGCACCTAGCCAGTGAGGGAAATGAAAGAAATGGATGTGACCTGGCCTTAAGGGCTCCAGCAGGCCTGAGCAAGCACTCGTGTTTGTGTGGGCCACATGTGTTGTACATGTTTTCAATATTTTAAAAATTAAAAGAAATATCTTTCGTAACTCATAAAAATTACGTGCAGCTCCAATTTCAGTGTCCCTATGGGCACCCAGCCACGCTCATTCCTTGCTATTGTCTGTAGCTCTTTCCACACTAAGTGGCAGGGTCGGATCAGTGACCCCTGCTCTGCCATCTCATTGGTAACTTGAGACACTGGCACGGAAGGAAGTTACCTAAGCCAATGCCATAAAACAAGAGTTTGAAATTCCTGAGGCTAGGCGTGGCGGCACATGCCTGTAATCCCAGCACTCTGAGAGGCTGAGGCAGGAGGATCAGAAGTTCAAGCCCAGCCCAGCCTGGGAAACTCTTAGTGAGTCTCTGTCTTCAAATAAAAAACTTTGGAAAGAGCTGGGGATGTAGCTTAGTGCAGAGGCCCTGGGTTTAATTCCAACTACCACAGAAAGAAAAAAGAAAAAGCTGAGATGTAGTAGAACCAGTTGCCTATGAAAGTTTTTTTAACTTTTACAATATTTGTTAGTACATGTTTATGGTACATTATAATTACATTCATCGTGGGGAGTTTCTACAGAAATCATCTTAATTCTTTGCACTTCCCTTCTCCTCTCCCCATATCCTCCCCCTCATCTCTTGGTCCCCTTCCTGTTTGCAAAGATCTATTCCCTGTTTCCTGTTATCTTTATTTTTCTCTTTAAATTTTTCCTGCTTGGGGCTTCTTGTGTAAGAGGAACCTTGTGACATTTAAGCGTGTGTGTCAGATGCCTGTGAAGTGTCAGAGGTCAGCTCACCACAGGCATCTGAGAGACTGCAGGGAGAAGGTGGGGTTTGAACTGGTCTTGAGCAGAACCCAGTGCCTGTGCGTCTGGTGCTCCCGGCTTGAATGAGCCTCACGGGGCTGCCTTTGAATGGGACTGACACTCATGGGGCTGAGAACCAGGTGACGCTAACGTGATCCGAGATGAGCAGCTGGAGGTGAAGCATGCACGGGTACCGGTAGTG